TCGTACTTTTGCTAGGTGAAATAGATTTCTAAACACGAGATTATTCAAAAAGAAATTATGTATGTCATTTTACTAAGGATGGTCTGTATTTTTCCATTTTGGATTCTCACCAACAATGCACGAAAGTCAGTTGATCCACCGCTCTTGCAATGGATGATGGTGTTAAGTCTTTGGTGAAATATCAGTGAAGTCAAAATCTGCCTTTCTCTTCTTCTAAATGAGATTGAGCATTTATCGTGTGTTTATTGGCCGTTTATACTTCTACTTTGAAATATCTTTTCATATAACCTTTCCAATTTCATAGCAGCTTGTTGATCTTGCTTTGGGATTTTTGCGATCTCTGTGTCTGTCTCTTCCTCTGATAGAAGCGTAAATTGCAAGTCTTTTCTCCCTGTGTCATTTGTCTTTTGATTTTGTTTTTGTTTGTTTTCATGTAAACACTTTCATTAGTGTTTTTATAAAATTTTAAATGTTTATTTATTTTTGAGACAGAGAGAACACAAGCAGGGCAGAGGCATAGAGAGAAGGAAACACAGAATCTGAAGAAGGTTCCAGGCTCTGAGCTGTCAGCACAGAGCCCCACGTGGGGCTCAAACCCACAAACCGCAAGTTCGCAACCTGAGCCAAAGTCGACCACTTAACTGACTGAGCCACCCAGTTACCCCCATTAGTGCTTTTGAAATAATGATTTACTGGGGCGCCTGGGTGGCTCAGTCTGTTAAGCGGCTGACTTTGGCTCAGGTCATGATTTGGCGGTCCGTGAGTTCGAGCCCCGCGTGGGGTTCTGTGCTGACAGCTCAGAGCCTGGAGTCTGTTTCAGATTCTGTGTCTCCCTCTCTCTGACCCTCCCCCATTCATGCTCTGTCTCTCTCTGTCTCAAAAATAAATACAAGTTAAAAAAATTAAAAAGAATTAAATAATGATTTATTGATTTTGAGTAATTATTAGGAAGAAGAAAATAGAAATAAATTCACTCACAAAATAGAAATAAATTCACCTATTTTTCTTCTACTTGTCTGACTTCACATTTTTACACTGAGATCTCTGATTTACTTGGATTTTATCTTGGTTTACTATATGATCTGGACTCATATCTTTACATATATAGCTATCATAAGGCTACCCAGTTGTTCCAACATGATTTACTTAAAAAAATCTAATTTGAGGTGCCATATTTATCATATAAATTGTTATAAGCATTTGAATATATTTCTGGATTTTCTGTCCTATTCCCTTGGACTGTCTGTCTCTACATGTGTCAATAGTCATTGATTTTTTTATTTTTAAATTTTTTTTAACGTGTGTTTTATTATTGAGAGACAGAGACAGAGCATGAGCTGGGCAGAGAAAGGAGGAGAAACAGAATCTGAAGGAGGCTCCAGGCTCTGAGCTGTCAGCACACAGCCCGATGCAAATCTCGAACTCGTGAACCATGAGATCATGTCCTGAGCTGAAGTGGCACACTTAACCAACTGAGCCACCCAGGCGCCCCGCCAATAGTCATTGATTTGATTAAATTGGCTTTATACCCACATTTCCCTTTTTAAGGGTTAAGCTGGCCACTTTTGTTTGTTTACTTTTTTCATTTGAACTTTGTAACCAAAGTTTCAACTCCAAGAAGAAGATATCATTGATGTTTTTTATTGAGAGTGTATTAAATTTACAAACTATCTTGGTGGGGGAGCATTTATCTTCATGACACTGACGCTTTTTATCCCAATACATGACATATTTTTCAATTTGTTTTAGTAAAACTTTGAGTCTTTGCATTTATTAAATTTATCCCTGAAGAAATTTGTCATTTTGTTCATTTGTAAATGTTGTATTTGATTCTGTCATCGAGCATAATAATATTGGCATTGTTTTTCTCAGATATGCAATCGACCCAAATAAAGATTATTTACCGCTCTCTTTCCAATTATTATGTTTCTAAATGCTTTCACTTATCTACTTGCATTGGCTATATCCTACAACATCATTTTTACAAAGTCATGCAGATAAACAAAGTCAATTGAAAGCATTACTCATAAGCCCATTAACTGAAGTGTTCTTTCTAAATTTTACCTGTTTATTCTTTATTTTGAAAATTTGGTAGTGTTTTTCCTTAACATGCCTTCCAGTATTTACAGAATAAACTACCAAACAGTACGCATACTAGATCAGAGATTGTTTAACATTGTGGAGAGAGCCTGTCTTGGGTCAGTGATAGGTCTGTGGTTAAATCTTGATTCTGCTACTCAATAGATCTTTCACTGTGGACATAGAACTTGTTGAAACCAGTTTTCATAGGTAGAAAATGAGATTTCTGCAAAGTATAAATGGATTCAGATACGTGTGCATAAAATGCCTAGCAAAATATTTACCGTAGTCATAGCTATTAATATTAGTTTCTTTCATCCTTCCGTGAGAGCATGAACAACATCTAACTAATCACAGCCTGCTAGCAGAACATCTTGGATAGAGTAGGTTTTCAAAATATGGTTCCTGAATTAAATTTTTGCAGATGGGAAATGTCTGTTGAGTATGATCACTTTTACGGTTTTCCTAAGCTATGCTAGAGACAGAGGTAAGAAGCAGAGGAAAAAAAGGTATTTTGTGTGTGAAAAATTTTTGGACGTTCTTCCTTTTTATATCACCTCAAACCTGGCATGCAAGAATCATGCTTATTTTGCAAAGGAGATAACTCTGGCTCAGACAACTGAAATGCAACGAGCCAGAGTTAGATCTAGGAATTTAATTCACGTCTTTCTTCTACATGTCACTTAATGGCCAGTGCAGGTCTGTTATTTAATAAAGCTAGGATTCAAAATCAGTCTGTGGCTTATGGGCAGATGCTTTCAAAGGGCATAATATCAAGTGTTGTTCACATTTCAAAATGAGCACTGACATACACTGTACTGAGAATGCAGATTGATATAAAATTTCTAAAGGTCAGTTTTGCACTTTCAACCAGTGTAAAAATAGGTGAGGAGGGAATGCGAACGAGTGCAGCCATTTTGGAAAACAGTATGGAGGTTCCTCAAGAAGCTAAAAATAGAAGCACCCTAGGACCCAGTAATTGGACTATTAAGTATTTACCCAAGGGATACAAAAATACTGATTCCAAGGGGCCCATGCCCCGTTGTTTATAGCAGCATTATCAGATAGCCAAATTATGAAAGAACACGGATGTCCACCGACTGATGAATGGATAAAGATGATGTGGTATGGCTATCACTCAGCCATCAAAAAGAAGGAAATCCTGTCATTTGCAATGACATGGATGGAACTAGAGTGTATTATGTTAAGTGAAATAAATCAGGCAAGACAAACACCATAGGATTTCACTCATATGTGGAACTAAGAAATAAAACACATGAACATAAGGGAAGGAAGAAAAAAAAAGAGAAGGAAGCAAACCAGAAGTTACTCTTTTATTTATTTTTTTCTGAGAGAGAGAGAGAGAGACAGAGAGAGAGAGAGAGAAAGAGAGAGAGAGAGATCCCCTGGGATCATGACTTAAGCCAAAATCTAGAGTCAGACACTCAACCGACTGAGCCTCCCAGGTGCCTTGAGACTCTTTTAACTATAGAGAGTAAACTGAGGGTTGCTGGGGTGGAGGTGGGTGAGGGATGGGCTAAATGGGCGACGCGTATTAAGGAGGGCACTTGTGATGAACGCTGGGTGTAGAATCACTAAATTCTACTCCTGAAACAAATGTTACACTATATGTTAACAAACTAGAATTTAAGAAAAACGTGAAACTAAAAGAACCCTAAAAATAGTTGAAACCTAATGAGCAGGAATTACCATATCTAGGAATTTACCCTAAAGAAATAATCAGAAATGTACATGTTGATGTTCTCCAGTGAGAGCTCCACACCTTTGCTTTTTCCTCTGGTATCTGAGCTCCTTAGGGATCTGACCTGCCCTCTGCTTCTCTTCACCCTCAGCGCAGGTGAACTCAGCTGTTTGTTCTTTTTTTCTTTCTCTATTTTTGTGATGCCAAATATTAACAGGATGATGACACCTCTCCAGACTGTATTTCTCCACGTTTCCCCTGAAATGAAGATCTCTATTTCCATTTCCTTCATGGACATATCTATTTGTTTCCCATAAAAGTAACCACACACAGAATTGAAACCATAAACTCTATAATATCCAAATCCCACAGCCAAATACGTTCCTCGCTTGAAGTTCACAATCAGCGAATGGCATCACCTTCCATCCAACTGCTCAAACAAAACCCTGGGTATCATATCTGACCACTGCTGTTCTCTACTCATCCACCATCCGTCCACATATGTCCTATTGGCTTTGCCTTCTAAATATCAGGGAAATCCAGCCACTTCTTTTTGTTCCACCCCTTGGCCACCTCCTTGGCCCCAGCTAATATCCCGTCTTGCTTGGCATCCTGTAGGATCCCTTTGCTTGTTTCCCCTTCAGCTCTCGGGGTCACTTTCTCTTTCATCTTGCCACACAGTGAAGTTTGAGGCTGGAGAGGGGCTCTTTCTAAAATACGAATGCAATTATTTCAACTCACTTCTTTTATTTTTATTTTTAGAGGGAGAGAGAGAGCAAGTGGGGAAGAGGGCCAGAGGGACAGAGAGAGAGAGAGAATCTGAAGCAGGCTCCATGCTCAGCGTGGAATTGGATGCTCAACTTACTGAGCCATCCAGGTGCTCCTTAGCTCTCTTCTTAAAGCATGCCCATGGATTCCCCCTAGGATGAGTTTAAGCAAACCAGGCATATTATCACTTACCACTCTTGTGCTACTGGCTCGCTGCACCAACCGGAACCCCTGTAAGCCCCAGAACAGTCCACACACTCTTGTGTCTCCAGGACTTTTCATGCGATGTTTTCTTTCCTTGGAATACCACAAGCTCTTCCCTCCCACCTGCCTGAGAGATTTCTACTCCTATCTGTTTCCCTTTAGACATTACTCCCTCCCAGAGGACTTTCTGACTCCCAATTATGAGTAGGTGGTCCTGGGATACCTTCTTCATATACTATCACATTATGTTTTATTCAAATTGTTTATTTAGCTTCCTCTGATGTTATGAGTGTAGCGATTGAACTTGCGTCATTTATCCCGGTGCCTTGCACGTGTCTCCACGCATGATAAACATTCCACCAACCTAGGCTGAATGGAGGATCTCCATCACAGTGCTGTTTGCGACAGTAAAACATTGAAAAGAGTGCACGCTTTCGACACAAGCGTGGTTATACATACCACAGCACACCCACATGATGAAATCCTAGCACAATGATTTAAAAAGCGTCATGGGGGCGCCCGGGTGGCTCAGTCGGTTAAGTGTCCGACTTTCGGTTTCGGCTCAGGTCATGATCTCACAGTCACGAGATGGAACCTGGGTCAGGTTCCACACTGAGCATGGAACCTACTTCGGACTGTGTCTCTTTCTCTCTCCCTCTCTCTGCACCTTCCCTGCTTATACACTCTCTAAATGAGTAAGGAAATAAATAAATATTTAAAACAAAAGGATAAAGCATGATGTTCTGAAGTACATTTGAGGACAAGGGATTTTATGGAAAAATATAGGTTAAGAAGACATTTGCAATGCGTTCCCAATTGCCTAAGGAAAATAGCTAATATTTTAGAGATTAGATTTGCAAACATTGTGCTAAGTCTTTTAAATCAATTATCGTGTTTAATTTTTATAAGAACATAATAAAACGGGTGCTATCATTATCTTCATTACAGAATTGGCAGTTACCCCGGTAGAGAGTGGCTGAATCAAAGGAACTTTCTTTATTCATGGATTCAAAACCAGGTTTTGCCTGATTTTTAAGCACACACTTTGAAACTGTAGGAAGAGACAGATGGGTAGATAGAGCTTTGTGTGTGCACACACGTCAAACGTACTATTTTCCCATTGTCCACATTAGTTTATGAAACATAACAACCTGTTCAACGTTCTTCTCCCTGGGGGAGAGGAATATAGGTGATCATTTTTTTTTTTTTTGAATGTGTATTAGTTTTGAAAGAGACAGAGACAGAGACAGAGAAAGAACGCAAGTGGGTGAGGGGCAGAGAGAGAGACACATACACATGCAGAGTATGAAGCAGGCTCCAGGCTCTGAGCTGTCAGCACAGAGCCTGACACGGGGCTCAAACTCACCCTCTGCGAGATTTTTTCTCCTACTTTCCCATAGGGAGCACGCATTATCTAATAAAGAAATTGAATAGTACATTAAAAAAAAATCTCTGCTAGTAGTCTTAATCCTCTAATGCACGATGCCTCTCCATCGCATTTGTAGATCGAGAAGGAGCCACCTGACAAACCACGGCGAGACTTCATTCCTCCTGGATATCCAGGTTTATGGACACATGTGTCATCCTGAGCATGCGGGGTATAGCTACACAAATCATCTGCACGACAGAGACCTGTCACAGGCAGATGGAAGATGGTCACGGGCACGTGGTTACTCCGTGGACTGCATTTAGGTCTCGTTCCAATGGCCAGAGCCAAATGCATCATTCTAAGAATGGAAGTTGAGACTCTTTTACTCATTCCCAATCCCTTGACCAAATTTTTGGAACACTTTATATGCTAAAAGCCATGCAAGGATCAGGGGGAATACAGAGAGGAGAGATGCAGATTTCTGCCCCAGAAAGAAGGAATTCAGAATCGGGTTGTGGGGCCGGCGGAGTAATCTCAGCAGATAGGGAGGGAGTGCAGCGATTGGCCTGAAGGACACCAGCAACAGGGCAGGGAGGGGAGCACGGCTCAGATTTTGGCATCGGCTCCGGTGGGCCTGGTACAGACTGAATCCCTGGCCTGCGTGTAACACCCGCCTTTTCAGAGCGCCGCCAACCAAGTTCAGATTTTATTTCAGATGATACTTTCCACATCTGGCTCGGTTAACATCGGTGTGGATGGCCTCCTTGCCTTCTCCTCTTCTGGAAATATGCAAGCTGAGCGCACATTCTTGGCCCTCGCTGCTTTGTGTCAAAGTTGGCACAGAGGTCAGTTTTTACCTGTTCCTCTTTCTTGCCCATGACCCTCTGGACTTTGTGCAGACTTAATTGTGCCCAGCTGGGTGTACTTTGCCCTTTCGCTGAATAGGACAAAGGAATACTTACCCTCCCCCATTTTCAAAGGCTTTCCCTTTCCCTTTGGATTTGTGGTTCAACAAACCACATCTTCCTTGACACAGCTCCCAAATTACCTTAATAGCCCGTGGCATCTAAAGGGTGACCTCCCTCCTGTCCTGGATCCTCTGGTGCCTTTCAGTCACACCTGCAGTCATTTAAAATGGTGTCACCAAGCTGTGGTCAATTCCTGGCAACAGCTGCTAAGCAGCATTCAAATCTTTTATTCCTTACTGGACAGAGCCATGATTTATAATTAAAAGACTTCTTTGTCCTCCACTTTCAAATATTAAAACTAAATTACATCTAAATTCTCTTCTCTCTTCCCCTCCCCCCCCCTCGCTTTCCCTCCCTACCAGCAGCATCATGGCGTCATAGTCCAATGCAAGATCATCTGTTGACTTCAAACCCTTGGGTGTCAGCCCCACACCTGATAGTCCCAACTGTGATGTCAAAGCATCAGTTTCTTCAGCTGTAAAACAAAGAATAGTCTATGTTTGGGAGAAAAAATAGAGACGGTAAGATCCTGTTAAGAGTAGTAAGCACTGTAAATCAAAGTAAAGGTAAGGGAATAGACAGTATGGGGGTGAGTTTTAGATCTCAGGATCAGAAAAAGACTCTCTGACAATGTGACACTTGAACAGGAGGCCAAAAAGAGTGACTGAGCAAGCCATGAAATTATCTGGGGAAAGAACATTCCAGGCACAGAGGGTAACAAATGCATCCAACTGGGTTATGGGGAGCTTGCATGGTGTGCTCAAGGAACAGTGAACCAACAGGTATGGCTCAGAGTCAGTGAGTGAGGTGGGGAGGTGATACAAGATCATGTCCTCCATAGGCTTAGAGCCAAGAGGAAGATTTTGGATTGGGGTATTAAAAGCCATTAGAGGATTTTTAGTGGAGGGTGAGGGCGACATGATAACAGTTTCATATTAGGAGGGACACTGCACTGCATGGAAAATAGATTGCTAGGACACAGAAATAGAAGCAGGGAGACAAGATTGATGATCCTGCAGCCTAGCAGAGGAGTGATGACAGGGCCTTGGACTGGGAGTTTGTCATGGCATCCTGGAACAATTACATTCAGGATAGAGGCATGAGAGAGAGGAGAAAGTCAGAACTCAGCTCTTGTCCCAAGCAATTGGGTGAAAGAAGTCGCCATTTACTGATACAGGGAGGGAGGACTGATTTATGGAGGTAGAAATCAAGAGGTTGGTATCATACAGTATAAGTTTAATATGATTAACAGATGTCCTCCTCTGAGATTCAGAGGAGAAAGCTAGATATGTCATTTAAAGATGGGGCCGGAGAGCAAAATTTGGACTTATTGGTGTATACACCAAAGGCTGTGAGGCCATCTGGTAAGACGGGCTTAGAACTTGGAATTGACCACACGGGGTTGTTGGTTACAGACATGTGTTTGAACTGAAGTGATGGGCACAGGCCCAACAGGCTTGTTTGAACTGAAGTGATGGGCACAGGCCCAACAGGCTTGTGTTCTAGAGAAAATTTGGAGTAGAAACAGCTTGTATAGAAATTAAATTGAGTTTTGAGACAAAAGGGGAGCTAGAAAATGACGTCCCTCATAAAATGGACATTTTTATGCTAAAAACAAGTAGTGTGGAAATGCAACTTAATACTACAACAAGTACAAAATCTGACCACATGTTTTCATTTATTCTGATATTATCACAATTAAATGAAAACATGCAAAGAAAAGATCCTGGAATAAAATACTTCCCAGGTATCAGTGGTGGTTTTTAAATTTTATGGTGGGCTATGGATGATGTAAACAAAAATTAAATAATTCTCTCCTTTGTTTTTATACACACACCTTATCGTGCATACACACTGCTTTCAATTTTTATTAAAATAAACACATCTGCTCCATTTTTTAATAATTTAAGCATTGCAATTAAATTTAATATGATCAATGTTGCCAATCCTTCCTCAAAATATATTCCAGGTTCCTTCCTCAAATATGACTATTAGAGTGGGTTTGGAAAAGAATGTCCCTAACCCTCTCCTTATATTGCATAACTATTTAGGTGTATCCAGTATCTTAAATATAATTTTCAGTCCAGTATGTATATCTTATATCTGAGAAAACTTTTCATCTCTTTGCTCACCCTATTCTTTCATATGCACTTAACCTTAAGCATTTTTTAATGCTAATTTATTTTTGAGAGAGACAGAGAGACAGAGAGATGGAGTGTGAGGGAGACACAGAATGTCAGCACAGAGCCTGATGAGGGGCTCAAACTCAGGAACCGTGAGATCATGACCTTAGCCGAAGTCTGACGCATAACCGACTCAGCCACCCAGGTGCCCATATGCACTTTACATTAGATTAATATTGTTAATAATAAATAAACTTACAAATGGATAAAAACTTGATAGTGTTTTATATGCCTTCTTAAAATATTTCCTGAACAACCTTCTTTTCCATTTTTATCTTTGTGTAAATTCTCTTTGGGTTCTTTCAGAAAAGTTCTAGAAATTGTAGAGTTTCTATGTCTGCAAAAAGTCTTTGTTATCTTCTTCCATCTCAAATTATAGTTTGGTTAGTGGAGCTTAGTGTGATATGCTACACTCAGAACACTACAGCTCAGAACTTTGATGATGTTACTTCGTGTTCTTGTATTCACCACTGCTGAGGAGAAGTCTGGTGTCAATCTGATATTCATTTCCTTGTAAATAATCGTTCTTTTTCTATTGGCATCTTTTAGGAATTTTTTTGTCACTATTGATATTATGAAACTTTATTTTTTTGTGTGTCTCAATGTGAGTTTTTGGTTTGTTTTTGACTAAATTTATCCAGCTCTGTGTACTCATTCAATGTAGGCTAGATGTCGTTTTTGCCTGTATATATATGTATGTATCAATTATTTATATAGTGGTTCTAGGATATTTCTTGCTATGTATATATATTTTTTTCAAATAGTTCTCCCTCAGTCTCTCTTTACTCTCGCCACAAATGTTTTCAGATGGATGGTAGAAATTTGGTTCTTTCTTTAAAATATTTAGACTTTTAGTTCAATTTTTGTTTCTATTTTTCTTTGTTCTGTGATCTACAAATGTTTCTTAATTTAACTTCCTATCTTTTCAATTTCCCTTTCAATACCTTGTAACTTGCTATTTAGTGCACATAATTATTTGTACATGTTAATTTATATGAGTACAGTAATCATTACAGAACATAATTTCTTTGCAAAATCTCTATTTTGTTCTTTTCTTTCTTACATGTGTTTCACCACACACATTTTCCTTTCTTTGTCTCTTTTTTTTTTTAGTTTATTTATTTATTTTGAAGGGGTGAGAGATAGAGAGAGAGAAGGAGAGAACGAGCGGAGGAGGGACAGAGAGAGAAGAGAGGGGGAGAGAGAGAATCTGAAGCAGGTTCCATGCTGTCAGTGAGGGGGCTGACTTGGGGCTCGATCTCACAAATGTGAGACCATAACCTGAGCTGAAATCTAGAGTTGATTGCTTAACTGACTGAATCCCTCGGGCACCCCATTTCTTTTCTTTCTCTTAATGACATTCATCCCACCAGGTATTACTTTCTATTTTAAAGTCCCTCCACCCATGTACTTGCTCTGTTATTTTTGTTATCCTGCGTGTAACATTTTCTTCCTTTTGGATTTGCTATTTCTTTTTCACATAAATGGTCTCTCTCAAATGGTTGATGAGCCTTTGTTCTATTTTCAGAGTCTGGGATAGACTTGACCCACACATTCTTTGTCTATGTCAACTTCCCATGATGTGAAAACTTCCCCTTGATGCTATGGCTTGCCTACATTCTTCTTTAAGTGATGGCACTTAGCTTTTTTTTTCCCCCTCCTTGAAACTACTTTGTGCTTACACAGCCCTTCAAGTGATATCTTTCTTTCATTAATGTATACATTTTTTAACCTATGTATATAAGCACTAGGGCAAAGCCATGTGTTAACCCTCTAGAAGCTATTCTGTCTTTCAAGTAACATATTTTCCTTTCATGAGACTAAAAGTGTTTTTTTTAAATGTTTATTTACTTTCAAGAGAGAGAGGGTATGACCAGGGTATGGACAGAAAGAGGGGAACAGAGATCTAAAGCTGGCTCTGTGCAGACAGCAGCAGCCCCCTTATATGGGGCTTGAACTTAGGAACCATGAAATCATGACCTGAGTCAGACGCTTAATCCACTGAGCCACCCAGGTACCCGGGGTTATAAGTGTTTGAAACACATGTTTACAAGCATTAGGGGAAATCCATGTCCTTTTTTAAAAATTAACTTTAATTTTAAACTCCGATGTAGTTAACATACAGTGTTATATTAGTTTCAGGTGTACAATACACCAATTTAACAATTCCATGCATCACCCAATGCTCATCAAGACAAGTGTACTCCTTAATCCCCATCTCCTATCTTACCCATCCTTCCCTGTGTTGACTGTGAATTCCTGGTTATTTTTCAAATGTGTGTATTATTAGTTTTTCACATGGAGTCTATTGGTTAATTAGTTAAAACTAGTTAGTTAATTGGTTTATTGATTAGTTAATATCTTGTTAATACCTTCCTTATTTATTTCATAAATCAACTCTTAATATCTTAAAACCACAAAAAGCTGGATATACCCTTGGTGATAGGTGATCCCACCATTGATGCAGTATCTACAGACTTTATGTGCTTCTGGGATTCTCATGGCTTTTTTCTCATTATGCCAACATGGCTGCCACAGTCTACGTATTCCATGTTGGAAAACCAGGCTTCTCCTTCACAGAAACCTCCTCTTACACTTCCTTTCATACTTCACTGGCCAGAAATGGCAACGTGTGCGCTCCTTCAAGAGAAACTGAAAAATGAACATTATTTGCCAAAAGAAAATGAGATTTTTTTAAGTTTATTTATTTATTCTGAGAGCAAGAGAGAGCATGAGTGGGTGAGGGTCGGAGAGAGGGAGAGAGAGAGAATCCCCAACATGTTCTGTGCTACCAGCACAGAGCCTGATGAGGGGTTCGAACTCACGAACCATGAGAGCCATGAGCACTCACCAAGAGTTGGATGCTTAACTGACTGAGCCACCCATATGCCCTGAGAATGAGATTTTAATGATTGGCTCAGATCAAATTCATCTGTTGGGTCTGGGCAGTTATAATCCCAGAGTATATGACCATGGTATTCTTGAGTAAAAGGTGGGTATGTGGATTTTGGATAAACAAGTAAATTATCTATCATATTGCACATTCTTATGTAGTTTATTAAAACCTTAGATTTAGAAAATCCAAATGGCTTTGCTATTATGATCATAAATAATAATAGAAAAATCTCTTTATGAGACTCATTTTGGATCTATCATTGCGACATTAAGAAAATGTCTTAGCTTTATGTAACAATAACACTGAATGGAAAAACTTAGACTTCTTAGAGAGTTCTGGCCATATGTGCAAACTTTAAAAATACAGAAAACCAACTTTAGCCTTAGATTTGCCTTCCTTTCCAATCAGGAGATGACCTCTGCCTCAAACTCTTGCAAGGAAAAGAAGAACCAAGTTAGAATATTAAAAACAAAACTGATATAGAATATTTTGTGTAAATATTTAAAAGTTTATAGTCTTAATATTACCACATACCATACAAATCCTTAGAAATGCATGAGTAAGTAAATGGGGAAGAGAACAAAGAGACTAGTCAAAGGAGAATAATATAGATAACTCAAATAAAAATGAGATTCACAACTCACTAAGGATGCAAGAATGTCAAACATTTCTTTTTAAACATTGAAATATGCAATGCAGGTAAGGGTATGCCAAAACAGATACACCCACATATTGGTGATATGGTTATAAATTAGTGCAACTTTTTTTTAAGATGATATATTTTTAAGTAATCTCTCCACCCAATGTGGGGCTCAGACTCACAACCAAGAGATTGAGTCACACGCTCTACTGACTGAACCAGTCAGGCAGCCCAATTCGTGCAACTTTTAACAAATCAGCTTGGAATTATGAATCACAAGTCTTGATGGTGCTTATATATTTTGCCCCAATAATGCCCTTCTTGCATATCGTTTATTAGAAAATTTGAAATCCAGGGGCAGGTGGCAGAGAAAACTCCTTTTGATAGGTAGTAAGTGAAAAATCCAGAGATCAAATTATTTCTAAAGCATCACCTTAGTATGTAAAGGATAATTCAGAGACTTAATCCAAAAATTTACATGGCTTCTCTCTAGGGATTTCTATTTGCTTACTCATATTTTTCTGCTGGTTTCAACATTCCTACCTTAAGGGTAGTTTACTTTGAACTGCAAAATCAAATGATCGTAAGAGAGACAAAATATCTGTGGTTCACCTTCAGGTAGATATTATAGGCTCTAAAGTTCTTCTCCATTGATTTGATTTTCCCAGTACTGCACATACAAACAAGAAAGTATTGCTTTCTCCAACCTGAATTCAGGAACGTGAGGCTCAATTGAGTCAGTCACTTGAATGACTTTCCCCAGGTTATCTAGCTAGTATGTGGTAGGACCTCAATGCTTGTACCTTGGTATCTAATTCAATGTTCGGTCCACACATCCAGATGTTTCTTTCCTTTGTATGAAGTGTGTAATTCATTCCTTGAAGACTCAGTATAGATTTTTTGGGTTTGGTGGAATCTGAACTCCCCTTTCTGGGTTTCAAGTAAACACTTCTAAATTATTCCAGGAGTCTTTTTATAACATAGCCGGGACAGGGTTTTCTGGGACAAAATAATAGAGACTGTGGAATCTGTCTATAGGACAAGTCTCTATATAAGCATGGAGGAATGCTGTGGATTGCCGCCCACACTGGAATCCATTGAGAAACCATTTTGGCAGTCTGGAGAAAAGTAATGTAGTACAGGTGAGGAACACTTTCTATCACCATGACCTAAACATCTGCGTGCTCTATTCTCTGTAAAATTGGGGAAAAATTTTCTTCATCTGGCGTTCTGGGATGGCATGGGTATTAATCATACTTTTTACCTAAAATTTCCTTTTCAAAACAAAAACACCTGTGCATGCAATTAAATATAAACTTATGAAAGCAATTGTTTCCACTCAGTCTTTATGGTCTAACGAGTACTATATTAGTACACATCCTCTGGGACTATTAACCTTTGTGTAATACATTAATTCAAGAAAATCTGACCTTAATAAGTATTGTTATATGGTCATATAATTACAGAAAAGTGCCCTGAACAGTCATGATTCAAAGAAGTTTTTGTCATATTATATAAAATAAGGAAAATATAGAAATATAAGTAACAAGAAATAATTCTGAAGAAAACAAAGAAACAAACAACAGTGACAACAAAGAGAGGACTGACTCATATATGTAGAGAATAAACTGGTGGTTGCCAAAGGGGAAGTCTCTGGGGATGGGCAAAATGGGTGAAGGGGATTAAAACGTAAAAGCCTCGTGGGGCACCTGAGTGGCTCCGTTGGTTAAGCAGCCGACTTCAGCTCAGGTCATGATCTTGCAGTTCGTGAGTTCGAGCCCCGCGTCGGGCTCTGTGCTGACAGCTCGGAGCCTGGAGCCTGCTTCCGATTCTGTGTCTCCCTCTCTCTGTGCTCCTCCCCCACTCACACTCTCTCCGTCTCTCTCTCAAAAATAAATAAAAACATTAAAAAAAAATGTAACAGCTTATAACGTAAGTAATCCACGGGGATGAAAAGTACCTCATAGGGAATATAATCAATAATGTTGTGATATATGTATTGTGGTGAGCATTCCATAATGTGTACAATTGTTGAGTCACTGCGCTGTACATCTGAAACTAGTTTAATACTACATGGCAACTATGCTTCAATTGAAAAAAAATTAGTGCGTCATCCCCAGTTCTTTTGTGCCAGTAAGTAGAAAAGCCCTTCTTTCCCTGTAGGGCTAGTGGTACAAAACCTCAGTGATTTAAACCTACCAGACTGCTTCCCAATCCCCCCAGAGCAACATACATTTCATTGGTCCAGAGATTTGCCCTTGCCCTTGCCTCTGATCAAGATTCCCATCTTCCTAATGCCCATGTGCAATCCTCCTAACACCTGCTTTGTTCTATACAGGGTTGATTCCTCCCTCAAACTTCTAATTACTCCTTGATCATACCTCACAGTACTTAATAAACAGCTAATTTTGTGCAATTATCTCAAAGTATTATAGCTATTTGTACACACGACAATTTCGCCATTGATTGCGAATTCTTTGGCTGCATGAGCACTGTTCAGGCGTCCTTATTACTAGGAATGTAATAAGTACTCAAAAATGTTTCTTTGATGAAAGTGAATGAAAAACCCCAAGTATCTGATATTCTGGTGGGCTCCTCAAAGGCTTTTCTCTCCGATAGTCTGAGGGCATATTGAATGAAAATATTTTAAAATATAGATATGAATGTGATCGGTGTTATTTTTTTCTGTATTCAAAGGAGACTTGGAATAGAAATTGATTCAGATTGTACGCTTCAAGGTAAAATGAACCTCTTCAGTGTTTGATAACAAGTGGAAATCTATAACTTTTGTTTTTCAGAATGTCTAAAGGCAACAAATAAAGAACATCAAAATGTATAATGTTTACATAGCATTATTCTGTATATCTCAGTGTGTATGATCTAACAGCGGTACTCAGCCCATGTGACATGGAAATCATCTGGGGGCTGTATAAGAATACTGATGCTGTGGAAATATACCAGTTGGGCCCCATCCAGTTGGTCGAAAGTATGGTGGGCGAATGTGCAGTCGAGGTTGATAACTTCTGCCTCACAGCAAAATAGCTTCCAAGTGTCCTGTGTACAAATCTGAAAGAAAATGGACCTTCCTGAAAAATTAGCTCTTAGCTCCTTGCAAACTTTTACACCTTTTCATGAATCATGGAATTGAAGTTGAAAAGTACATCATCTACCTCTGAATTAAAAAAAAAACAAAGCCAACAAACAAAAAACCACAACAAAGCAAATCTACATAGAATAAACCCCCTCTTATTCTCTGCATTTGGGTCATTGCTATACCAGTGGACGTAAAGCACAGAGTTGGATATCCAACATGGAATCCTCATGCTCATTATTACAGAAATGTGAGAGGCTGTGGTTCCTTACCCCTTTGCATAATTTCCTTATGAAATACCTTCTCTATTCGTTATGGATGGACTGCAGATAATTATCCAGAAACTCAAACATTAATAATTTCCTATGTAGTGATTGAAAAAAAATCCATTTGAGAAACGGCTTCCTCCCTGCCTGGAGCCAAATATCCAATAGATACTGTAATGAAAAGAAAGCAGAGACATATCCAGTAACGATTTAACCAGCAGTGAGTGACCTGTATTTTATTATGGTACACAGCTGTTTTTATCACACATGCACACATAAATAAATCACAATTAAACAACTTTGGGAACAAAAAATTTGAATCAAAACACAATTAGCTTTTC